TCCCCGAGTACTGCGCGGCGCCTGTTGCAAAGTCGAGCCCTCATCCAATTTTTGTTATGAAAGGATCCGTAATTAAATCTTTAAGTTATACATAAGGATCAGGATGTATTCTGGCATCTTACAAGCACGACCAAAACGGACATTAGCGGTTTATTTACGTGCTCCCCGAGTACTGGGCGGCGCCTGTTGCAAAGTCGAGCCCTCATCCAATTTTTGTTATGAAAGGATCCGTAATTAAATCTTCAAGTTAGACATCAGGATGTATTCTGGCATCTTAACCCAGTATAAAGTTTGAAATTTTAAGCAAAAATAATAAGGCATGAAGAATTAAATCTTCAAGTTAGACATCAGGCTGTAATCTGTCATCTTAACCCAGTATAAAGTTTAAAATTTTAAGCAAAAATAATAAGGCATGAAGAATTAAATCTTCAAGTTAGACATCAGGATGTAATCTGGCATCTTAATCCAGTACAAAGTTTGAAATTTAAAGCGAAAATAATAAGGCATGAAGAATTAAATCTTCAAGTTAGACATCAGGCTGTATTTTGGCATCTTAACCCAGTACAAAGTTTGAAATTTAAGCAAAAATAGTAAGGCATGAAGCACCTTCAGCTTGATTCAATAATTATCATACCTGCAAGGCACGGCGATGAGCAGCTGGGGACGGCAGTGGAGGGACGAGGCATCGCCAGTACACGTCTCCCATGCTATCCTCGTCTCGTATGCTGCCATCAACAATGTTCTCACCCTCGTTCAAGTCACCCTCAACCTCGTCGTCCTGAAATCACCAGCAACATGATTGTCTTCGTTTTCTCATTTCAAAAAGTTGGATTTATCGACAGCAAACAGGCTTTGTTCGTAAATATTGTAAACATTTATATGAAGGCTCTAAAAGAGAAAGATGCCCAGTTAATTTTAGTATTTGATATATATTATTTAATTATATATCACTCACATCTCGCCAACATTCATTGCCCGTTGCATTCCCCACTCACATCTCGCCAACACTCATTGCCCGTTGCATTCCCCACTCACATCTCGCCAACACTCATTCCCCGTTGCATTCCCCACTCACATCTCGCCAACACTCATTGCCCGGTGCATTCCCCACTCACATCTCGCCAACATTTTATTGCCCGGTGCCATTTCCACTCACATCTCGCCAACATTCATTTCCCGGTGCATTCCCCACTCACATCTCGCCAACATTCTCCCCCGGTGCCGTTCCCCACTCACATCTCGCCAATATTCATTGCCCGGTGCCGTCCCCACTCACATCTCGCCAGCCTTTTAGTGCCCGGTGCTGTTCCCACTCACATCTCGCCAATATTCTCCCCCGGCCTGTTCTTCTTCACCAAAAACATTTCTGATCTCACGCAGGGCGCTCAGGAAGAGCCGCTGGGGGCGCAGGCAGCGAGCTTGAGCAACAGGTTCACTCAATGTCTGGACGAGGGCCGCTGTGACGGCAGAGACTTGTCGTAGCACCTCTGCGTCAGGCACCACCTTATCTGAGGTGCTACGGTCAACCCTTCGTGCCGTCCTGGCGAGCAAGCTTTTTTTAACGCGATATCTCGGGCTTTTAAAACCAAAACCCATGGTTTTGGAACCATGGAACAGGGGGTTGTATGTCGATGAAATGGGTTATATAGAACCATGGAACAGGGGGTTGTATGTCGACGAAATGGGTTATATAGAACAATGGAACAGGGGGTTGTATGTCGACGAAATGGGTTATATAGAACCATGGAACAGGGGGTTGTATGTCGACGAAATGGGTTATATAGAACCATGGACCAGGGGGTTGTATGTCGACGAAATGGGTTATAATTAATTATATAGAATCTTCGATCAATTTCGGGGAAAATAAGGAAATGAGTAAGGCAAACAATTGATTACGTGTTGGCGGAATACAACCATAATATTCTTTGATCTAATGCAACCGTAACTTAGTGATGGAAGAAATGAGCTCGGTGCGCAGGCTTGTATAGAAAGGAAAATAAACAACAATCAATAGAAAAATGAGTGAACAAATCAAGTCTTACAGGCAGTCGAATTATATTGCGATCAAGGTTTTTGCACAGCGCACTGTTAAATGTACAAAACTCGGAAAATGAGGTAATCACCCATCTAAAAAACAATGAAGACAGCAACACATTTTTTTTTTGAAGCTTCAGCACTGTTACACACTCGATATCTACAAAAAAGGTTATATTAACAAAAAGCGGCTCGATGAATCTCGAATCGTCGTCACACACAAAATTTTCTGAAATCACGCTAGGACTGAAAGCAATTGCGTTGGGAGCCAGCAGCTTCCCAACACATTCATCACCAAAACGAACAACACGTTCATCACGTTAGCGAACTATTGGCCGATGCGGTAGACTGCGTTCCACAGAACACCTCCCAGTTATAAATGAGTAGTTCCATACAACACCTCCCAGCTAAAATAGTAATTAGCATTTAATAATACTACTAATTAGACATATTCGTCAGGGTTCAGTCGCAGAAGAACTATTCGTCAAAACGGTAAAATTCTAGAACATGTTGCAGTTGCAACAAAGCTAAGAGTACAGTGTTACCAAACTGAATAGTTATTTATAGAAATATCCGATTAGTTAAATGAAAGTTATCTAGTACGAGTGACTATGATTGAAAATCTTCATCTTATCACCGAATTTGCAATAAGTTGAGAGGTTAGGTATAATAAGTAAACTTGTGTGGCCCAGTGGTTAAAGTTCAGAGTACCAAGATTGGTGCAGAGAGGCGCGGGTTCGATCCCAGCTCTGTGCGCCAGTTTCTGGCCAGAATCGGCGAGGAGGCCGGGCGGTTAAGCATAGCAGAATTGTAGCAGTGAGTTGCGAGTTCGAGACCGCAAAATGCTGTGAATGTTCTGCGATGTTAAGAATCGGCGACAGGCCTACGGCCTAATAACGCTGAAACCGCTATTATATTATTATTATTCGTATATTATACAAAATTCATGTAATAATTATGTTAAGTCATGACTACTATGTTGGTAAAAAAACTATTTTTGTGAATGAAATCGTCTATTTGTTTGACATTACAATTAATTATCACTCGAATAACTTAATTATGACTCGCCAGGTATATAACTTGACAAATTAACTAGTATTGCAAGAGAACAGGGAGGAAATTACGTTGTCGGCAGCGAAATTACGTGAACAATAAGCATCATAAAACATCAAACTCTCGACTATCATGTGAGGTGAACGCAAATTTTCTCTTTTTTCATAAATGGAGGCAGAAAAAAAATACTAATAAAATGAAGAATAATGTGTAAAGTCATAGGAAAACCTTACGATAAAGAGATTTATTCGCCTTAGCAAAAGCTTTGTCTTGAGTATTTCGTGCTAAAAAATAAACTTGTAGTCACCTTTTTACTAATCAATTTGTGCGTTCCATTCGAAATCCGACTGCATTCTAAACGTAGTAAAGAAGAATAAACAAGCGTGTTTTCAGATGACATTTTCATCCATGATAATTCAACTAATGCACTTGAACTTCGCTATTCTAAACAATATCACACTCGAAGAAAGCAAGAAATCAGGGGAGCAAATTTCTAACGGTATTTTTCAAACTAAACAAACGCAAGAACAACCGCTCTACTTACGCATCATCTACTATTTGAAAACTAGAATAAAACTATTTGGGTACGATGTTCCAAACCCGTATCAGTTATACTGGCACAATCCTGAGCCTAAAGATAGGGACTGTGAAATATAGGTACTCCACTAGCAGGCAGGCTCGTTGTAACTCGGCAAGAAAGTCGAAATTCTCTCAAGTTTTCGCCCCGTTCTACCCAACTTCTCACCTGCATGGCACTCTATTTTGATTGATAAGTTAGTCCTCTCCTCAGCTTGACTAACAACTGTTTCACCAACTGCCTCCTTATACTCATTATCATCAAGATCAGGCTTGACTCTACGGTTTCGAACGACTCACTGGCGGGGACAGATCAGGAAAAAAGTATAAGCGGGTGATATTAGCCGCTAATACGATCTGTTAAAATATTTCCGGGTACAAAGCACCTTTACCACAAACACATTTGCATACGTACTAGTGGACGCTACCAAGAAGCAAAATCAAGACTATTTCGATCTCGGTATGAAAACGTAATCGCAATACAAAATTGAAATCAGGTATAAAGTTGGTTCCCTAAGTAAAAAGTTGACTCATCGAGTACAAAGTAGATTCGCCAAGTACAAAGTTGGCTCATCGAGTACAAAGTTGATTTATCAAGTACGAAGTTGTGCGATAGTCCTGAAAAACTTGACCACATATCTGATAATCTCCTGTAATAAAGAATCAAATTACCTATACGTATTTATCAAACTACTGCGAAGCTACCTACGTAAGTTCTCAAGTTGGCATTTCTGTTATGTAGACTTTTGATGGTGCAATTCGCGACGTTTAAACTAATTAACGTACAGTAATATTGAAGCTCGGTCATTACTCGTAATAATATTGAATCTCAGCCTCTCGCATTACTATTTTGTAACTCAGAACTCGGCACCAGCTGTTTCGTTACAATTCTATAATCATGGGCACATAATAAATTTCACAGACGAAGCCCGATTGACGTTAATATGAAGCTAATTTAATCTGGATACAATTGACGGGTTTGTATACAGTGGAAATGTCTATTCATCACGTAATTCAAATAGAAATGGTCATTTCACAATTACGTAACGTGATCAGTCATCATGTCAGAAATAAACATTCTTTACATTCCAAATATAAGTATACGAATAGTCCGGTATTGAATAATCCAGTTTTTTTTCATTATAATAGCACAAACAAACCCTCACAAACAGGTGAAAGTATATCACACATGAGAATCCAGAGAGTAACACGTACCATCTTGCAATTCAAGCAAATTACAATTAAAATAAAACAATGACTAAAATACGCATTAGAACAAAATTATTCGAGCGAAAGATTGTTAGCGTGGAATATCTGACCTTGATGGTTACCGCAGTAAATACAATTTTCAGCAAATTCTAGGATGCTGCTATTTTTAGGTGAGAATAGAATGAGAAACGAATTAATGGTATCCATGTTTGATTTGATATTTTCAATAGAGCAGATTAAGCCGAAAAATTCAATGCTTATTTCAGAAATGAAAAGAATGTTAGATTTGATTCGAGTATAAAGCTGATAGCAAAAATTTTTAATGAACATTTCACAACTGAGAGAAAGTTAGATTTGAGTTTAAAGCTGCCAGATTAAATCAGTAAATCCCCTCGTTGAAGGTAAAGTACGTTCCTCTTTTATCGGATGATTTGAGGAGCACAATGTCAAGATTCCGCTCAAGGATCTCATTCTGTAAATTAGTCACGTCTTCTCTAGAAAGATTACTCCAGCGATCTACGTAGCCTAACACGCGTAGCTTTGGACAACTCGGTCCCAGGCAAAGCTCCACAGCTCTCTTACCAAGCTGGCATTTGCCGATGACGAGTTTTTCTAGGTTACTGAACGACGAACAACTTAGGATGTCGGTAAAAACACTGTCAGTTAGTTCCTTGTACAGGCCATACGACGGCCAAAGACGATTCAAAACAACGTATAGCTCCTTCAATTGAGGGTGAGCTTTGCTGAAACACTCTAGAACTTCCCAGGATTCGACAGAAATGTTGGCAGAAGTAAGCTTGAGTAAAGTTGTCTCTTCGCTTTCCGTAAATATCGGCATCGACAGCCTTTCCAGGTTAGGGCAACTGGATTGAAGTTCGGAGAGCGGCATGAAGGTAGTGACAGATAGTGTCACAGACAGTGATGTCAAAGAAGAGCCGCGTTGCTTCAAGTACTGCAGTAAATAATACGGCCACTCAGACCCGAAATCACAGTCAACGTCCAAAACCTTCAAGTGATGGAACTCGGCGAGGCTTGAAAGCGAATTGTAACGTATGTGAAATTCAGAGACATCCGGGCAGACGTTATTTAAAATAAGGGACACTTCAGCCCCGATAGAAACGTCCCAAAGTTGGGTGTATTTCAGAGTGGACGGAGGAGGCACAAGAAACCCCGAAGGTCCGAATTCGTCGGACGCTTCAGCCTCATGTTTTCTTGCGAAGACAGCTTCATAGTTCTTCACCGATAGTTTATGCAATCCATCTCTTTCCAGATCAAATACTTCAAGCAAGACGCAAGGCTCTGCACTTGGACTGTTTAGACCACCATAAGGCATGGCAAGAGCGGCGCACATGGAGCCTAAGTCCAAATGTCCACCGAGAGATTCTAGGTTCGGCATCATCATAGCCAAAGAAGTCACGGTTTCAGTGGTCACTGCAGTAGCTGCCAGGCCAAGAAATTTCAGCGTGTAACAGCACTTGTGAAATTTCGTGAGCATATATCGGCGTTGACCATCTCGGAGTTCTGTAAGTGGTTCAGCATTGCTCAAGTAGAGGTGTGCCAAGCAATCGTCGTCCACATTATGAGACTCAGAAATGTCCAAATACTCTAAATTCGTGCAATTTAAACCAAGCGTCGACAGAAGTTTGGCGTCACCCAAGCTGCGCAATGTCACAGACGTCAACCGGTTCATTTTGCCCAGAGGAAGGTAGAAAAGCGCGTTGACGTCCGACCTGAATTGCTTGTCACTGATCTTGCTGAGGTCACAAATTATCCCAAGTCGCGTGATATTTACTAGACAGCAGAACGCAATGGCGCGATAGATATTGAAGACTTCTTCGATGTACTGATACCCCGAAGACGACAGATCGAAAGATGTGGTCTTGTCATCGCCAAGAAGCTCGAGCATTTGAACTTTAAGATCTGCTGAGATGTCGTGCATGTGTCGAGAGAGCACACTTGACAACAACTGCTGTCGAGTTATGGGACTGAGGCAACGGATGATGTACTCACGCTGCAATTTCCTGGCAGGAACTCCTTGCCATTTTAAGGTGCATTTCATTAGCCATGATATGCAGCTTCTTGTCGCCACCTCGAGTAGAGTGTTCACTTTTCTTTCGGGAGGCATAATATAAAATTAATGAGCTGAGACCTCGATCGTTTCGTTTCACAGTTGACGCATGTGAGCATATATAGTTGTAACGAAAATAGGATAGGGCTCTGAAAATAATAAAACCTGTTAGAATGATAAACCAGTACATCCGCCAAATACAAACATGCATGAAAGATGCTGACCCTAGAGTTTTTCTTATTAAAAGGTTTCTAGGTCATAGATATCTTTCAAAGAATTTATGCGCATATTGCCACAACCGTTACGATGAAAACGTTGGACCCCAATTAGCACAAGTTTGTGATGAAAGTTACTTCTGAGCGGCAGCTGCGGCAAGGATAGCAACAAACAAAAAGCACTTACTACGATAAATTGATAAGTAAGCAGCTGAAATCAAAAAGGAAAAGCGTATCTGAAAGCATAAGCAGAAAAGTTGTGCATTCTATGATGTGAACAATTTCAAAAACAATTATTAGAAACAGCAACAATCAGAATGAGAGACTGACCGTTTAGGAAGGTTGAATGAGAGCCACGGTACGAAGCGATATTTGTAAGACTGCCACCAACTTGAGAGATAACTTTTGGGTGTCATGAGAGTTTTAAAGCCAATAAACTGGCAGGAAAATGCCTAGAAAATTTGCCTGTGTCATTAGTGTTTCTGAAAAATAAAAAAGAATACTAGGTGAACAAGCTTTATTTTCACTCCATCCATCAACAAATTCTCATTCTACCTGCAGAAGCCTTGCTTATAAATTGCCTTATTAGGACCATGTGTCATAGAGAAAAATAGTGACAAATGATTATAACACTTTTGGAGGAAAAGATTATCTCTTGAATTAAACAAACCTAACATTCAATCAAGGTTATTCTCTCCATCACATTGCTGATCAACAGAGTTGACATTGCTAAATCTCTTACAGAACTCAACATATTTTGCTTTCCACCACATTGCTGGTCAACAGAGTTACGTCATTCCTAAATCTCTTAAATAACTCAAAGTATTTTGCTCCCCATCATATTGCTGATCAATCAGGCCAAGTTATTGCACAGATAAGTGCAATGAGACAATTAATTAGCAGACTACAGTGACACCAATACGCTGCAACTTTCATCATTCCACTCAACCATCTATACTACTATAACAAGAAGGAAAAGAAATAAAACTTCAATCACATTATTGGTCCTTTATTTTAATTAAAATTATATCTAATGAAGTCACAGCCAACAAACACACTTCAAATCTCAATATCATCAGGAAGAACTATGTAACTAATTGTAACAAGTCAACACACTTCCGTTAATGTAATGTTTGATGGCATTAACAACAAATTTGGATGAGCTATAATCTATCAATAACATTGGTTTCATTCCCATATATCCAGTATGCATGCAGCATGAATGACCATACCATAGAAAAGGTTTATTGATTTTCTCAGCATTCTTGTAGCCAGGCACTGGTAATTTGTACATAATTTGGCGCAATATTCACACCTAAATCTCAAAACCAAATTTGTGTACCAAGGTGCCAGGTAAATTTAACAAAAAACCAAAGGAATTTAAAACCCTTGGGGTTTTTTATTTAAAAACCCAAGGGATGGAGAAAGAAACATCAAGCATTTTATGCACATACCGTACAAGACGCAAAAAAAAAAAAAAAAATTGACCGAAAAGTGAGAACTCAATTCAATATTAATAATGAACCTTTTTAAGCCCCAATTATTCACAACCATGCAGTAGGCACAACTGCCAAGACCAGAACTTAATAAGACAATCAATGGCATGTGCAGATCTGATGCAATAAAACTTTACTCAACAAAATGCAAGGACAAACAACACATCTCAACAAACTGCAAGAAAATGCAGGGTAGGAGAATAGCTATACTGAGAATTTGTGAGCCCTAATTGGTATAAAATTAAAAGTGTTAAAAATATATAAAATAACTAAGAGGTCTTGAATACTCATATCTGGCTGTCACTGAAACCCAATCTTCAGAAGCATAAATTCTAAGAAGCCTACCACTTTCTTGGATGCAAACATAGCATCTCAAATGATTATGATTTTTTATTCTTTCAGGTATTGCTCATGAATCAGTGAGATAGCAAAAAATTACTTTTCTATTTCTTTTATGCAAATACTCTAATAAGTAAAAAAGTAAACGTTAAAATTAAGTGTAACTATAAACTGACATGCTAGTATAAATTACAAAAATTTTGCAATTTGATCAGCTATCATATTTTTGAAACCACTTGAAAATGATCATAAAACTATGGCACAACACATCACTTATATACCTACTGATGAGATCTGAAGTATCCTTGTCTGAGAATAAAATGTCAGTGATTTAGTTGATCAAAGACGGAGTTCATAAAGAGCTTTTGCTTTACTAGTCCTTTGATATAACTAAATTTTCAATTAATTCTCAACTGCCTTCTGTGTTATAAAATAAAAAAAATTAGAGAACTGTATATGGGCCAATTTTTATTTTCACATAGGTCAATTGGATTCATAAAGAAATGTAAGTATATACTTATGGAAAAGAAAGATGGAAAAAATCTGATAATCATTGTAAGATAATTGTGTAATACATGACAATAACAAATTTAGGCCTTCTTTATTTTCTTATATTTTCCATGCTTTACTTTTGTGAGGAAATACAGTAGAGAGTGCAATAAATAGTTGCCATTGGATGCATCTACTGTATATTCCCTATGAGGTATGCAACAGATTGGTATAGAGTTGTTGAAATCCTGTAATTAATATTAATAATATCATTATCATGTCCCTTATTTGTCTAACTGTACCTGATGTAAAAAAATGAGATAACTAAATTAGGCAATTAATAGTACACTAGGAACTAAATGAACCCTAAAGAGTGGATTTTGGGGAGGAACTGATCAAGCAAAGAACACACCATTAACAAATAATTACTGATTGACATTAGCCTGATTGCCTGAAACTATAACTTTCTTATAAAGGCTCAAAACTGATGTAGCATGACGAAGTTACAAATAAAAATACTCTAAACCATGTTGAAGTGTACAGTTGATCCTGTTACTAAAATGTTACATTTAATGGATCCCGCGAAATTAGTAAAAAGTTTTACCCTACAGAAAACATTTATGTTTGTATAAAATCACTAAGGCAGTTCAAACATAATTGTTGCTTACAACCAATGATCTTATAACATGCACAGTTGAAAGTTGCAATATGTGTAACTGGCAAGACTTGGAACACATATAATATCATTAGCTAGATTAAACCACAGCTACACAGAAACAGCCTAATTCATTTAATTAAATGCTACTGAAACTGACCATGAGTAATACTTAAGAATACAACTGGCATACAGGGCAAAGAAAATAATTCTAAGTATCAAAAATATTCTGTAGATGCACAATATGGGCAAAATGGCAGTAACATCAAAAGTTGTCCCTACTTTTGTTCTGCTGTTCTAACATACATCGTCATTTTACACTTGCTGCACTCAAATTCTAAGCTCAGGATTGATCCAGAATCAACTTCTCTCACAAAAAAGAAATTGTAGAATGAACAAATGCCAGTGTTGTGTAGTGACATCAGACAAATGTCTGAAAAAAGTGTTTGCAAATCTACAACTCTTTTTCCATGCAATGCAGAAATCGACATTTGAAATGCTGCTAAGTGTGCTTCATTAGCAATGGGAAAATCCATGTTGGAGTAATCATTTGGAACATTGGCTAATTGCCTGCTGGATGCTGCAACTTCAAAATCAGAGGCAAGTCCTGTTTCTTCAGGGGCAACTGTTTCAAAGGTGGCAACTGTTTCTTCAGTGGCAAGTGTTTCTTCTGTGGCAAATGTTTCTTCAGTTTTAATTATTTCTTCAGTTTTAATTGTTCCCTCAATTTGGACTGCTTCCTCAGTATCAATTGGTTCTTCCTTTATCTCGACTGCAACAAAATTAGCCTCTGCTTGTTGCTTCAGAAGCTTTTGCTGCTTCCTGAGGAGGATAAGAAACAGAGGTGACAGAACTATATTATACAGAGTAAAACCATCTGGGTATGAATCCATAATATGAATCATGTCAATCCATTCCATTAAAGCTGCAATTATTAAAGCTTGATTGAAGATATAATTATCACATAATTAACTGTTTCAGCATAAGATATTTGTTTTAATTTAGTAGGAAATGTAATTAATTTAGTAATTACTAGTTTGCATAACAGCATGGTTTAGCATAACATGTTGCATTTAGTTTTTTCAGTTTTTATTCCATATCATTTTTTTATTATTCTTGTAATATTTTACTTTAGAAAACACAGTTCACTAAAGTAGGGAAGAAAATCAATATTTGATTTTTTTAACACAGTTAAAAAAAATCAAGATATTCAAAAAAATTAAATGAACCTCAAATTTGAAATAACATCAAGAATTTGGAACATTAGCTAATTAATGATATTCAAAACAGATACTTAAAATTGCAATAATATTCAATGGTGCACAAAATTAAAGTAAATTAATATCATAATGATAAATAATAGTGAAAGATTGCAACAACTTAACCCTAATCGCCATGTGTTGTCATGTCACACTACAACCACAGCTGCAAATGAGATCTGCCCTTAATTCTGTTAAATATTTTTTGGCATCTCATATTTTACATACCGTCAAAGGGGCAATAAGGGACACTTTTGAATGTTTTTTTGTTAATAACTTCTTACCATGAAACATTTCATAAACAAGTTTAGGCTCATTTTATAGCTCTTTGTGAGGGCTATCGAATGGCATCTTCAGAAAAAGTCCATATGCTAATTGTAGGGAGCCAGACACATAATAAAACTGTCCCAAATTACCCCTGGGAACGGGGTAATCCGGGACACTTGCAATAAAACCCAATTTAAAAATTTTTGAAGCATGCAGAGTGTACTCATCCATTACTAACAGTACTCTGAAGTCCACTTTCATTGTAGATGATGTAGATGTAGAATAAATGACATTTTCTGTGTTTTTTACTCCTTTATCCTTTATTGATATGATATAACCATATTCATTCATTACCATATTATTGATGTGATATTACCATATCCATAAACATGCCATTGAGAGTTTACAATGACCTTGTCCACTGCAAGCTTCATATCAGCAGCCATATAGCATTTCTTCTGTACCTGTAAGCTTACAGGACAGCTTGTAATTTCACCCCATTTTAATTGGGTTAAGTGAATTCACTATAAAAAAGATCATAAAAAACATACCTGAAACAGAATGTTTTAGTAACAACCATCATATGTTTTGGAGAAACAAATCGTAGTTTAGATTAATTACTTTTCATTCTATGATGCCAAGTGCACAATTCTATATATGACATTCTGTGCACAATTTTGTGATGACCAATAATGCATTAATTTTTTGACAAGTGAAATTTTTTTTGCTGAGCAAGGTGAATGTTATTAAAATTCTTTGTTTTTAATCAATTTTTTTTGTTAACTGGGGCCTTTGCTAACTGAGGTTAAACTGTAAATGCGTTTCTAGGGGTGTCCCTTATTACTTGGTTGCGCGGAAATGGCTGCCATTTTTTTGGAATGAGATAGGCAAATTCCACCAATTGAGTTTTCAAGCCAACAACTGTGTGCAACTTTTAGGTAGGTAAAATTTTTTAATCCAGCGAATATTTTTTTTTGTTCCAGACCTTAGAAGTACTTTTTCAAAATTGGACTTTTCACACTTTTTTTCAGCAATTTCTTAGAGATAGTAAATTTATGATTTTTTAACTAGCTTTATACATAACAGATAGTAGAAATGTTGGAAGTTTATGCCACTATTTTTAGTTTTGCAATATTTCGATTAGTTTAGCTGCTACATTTCTATGAAATGTAAACGCGCATCCTGATTTACCCCGTCTGTCCCTTATTACCCAGTTTGATGGTACACTGTAATTATTTTACCAGGCATTAATATAGATTGTTTCCTATCAAATTCAGTCTTACAATGCACAATTGTGGACTCAAATCCATTAAAAAAAATTATAAGAATGATAGGACCAAATTTGTGGCCTCCAGCAGAGCCAGTTCCATGTATGACAACTCCAACCGCTTGAACTTGTGTCTATGTTACCCATGGGGAAGAGACTAAGTCATTCCTGTGTGCATGTGCCTGAGAACATGTGCATATTTATGCTGGTGCATGTGCAGCTTCATCCCTGGTGCACCTGCATCTATACGCTTGTTTCTTTCTCAAAGTTCTTTGTTCCAATAGTTTTTTGATCTCATTGTCTGTGAGTTTGTTGCCCACCATTGAAAGAACTGCATGGAATGAAATGCATTAGCGCAGCCAGAAACTTGAGTACTTCCTACCTCCGTTGCTTGCTGAACACTGATGTAGTGAGTCTGACAAGGGCATAACTCGCTGCCAATACATGGGTCTGCTCACTTGGTAGTAAAAGTTTATACGTAGTTTGCTAAATGATCTACCTTATTATTGATCCAATTATTGATCCAATCCAATATTATTGATCCAATACCAAGAATAGGTAGATCTCAGTTGAAGAGCATCTCAACAGACAAGGCTGCAAGGTTTGTGGTTATTTTTGTATGGAGATTATTAGAAACTAAGGGCATTTTCCTGCTAACCCTCCATGATTAGGGTTAAGGGGAGCCTCTCGCTCTTGGTCTGGGAAAAAGTTTTTTTATTTACAAACAGATCACTTTAAAACTAGGTATACATTTGTAGAACAGAAATTTAAGACTTTTGATTTTGTAAATTTAAAAAAAAAATGAAAGGAATTGTGAAATTTTTAGAAAATGGCAAAATAGGGGTGCTGTAGAAATAGCTCCTCGCAGGATTTTCAAGCTACAACATTGAGACACATATCATCTGATGCATAAAGACCACCATATCTAGAGATTCGTCATGGCTTTATTCAAAATCCTCATTTTTGTAGGTGGTGGGGGGGGGGGAATTTCTGTCTGTTTTTGATTTTCCCTCCCCATGCCCCTTTTTGCTAAATTTAATCCAAACTGTAACAAAATTGCAAAGAAGCCATGACCATTCTATAGATCTTTTTTTTTTTAATTGAATGGTATATCTCTCAATGCTGTAGCTTAAAAATCATAGGAGGAAATATATTTTTAAGATGGTGCATTTTGGAAATTTTAATTGTTCAGGGGAGCCAAATAAGCAAAATTTATTGAAAAAAAGAATATGCCAAAAAATTGCTTCATATTTTAACCCAAGTTTCCCCATTGCCAATTAGTTGCACTTAGGGTACCAGCACACATCTTTAGACTTATTCTTGTCAAGTTTAATGTGAATAGTAAGCAATACATGTGATTTATTAAATACACACAAAATGTGTATCACAAAAATGTATAATTCATGTAAAAATGTTCATTTCATAAGTTCAAAATGGCATTACGCAAAAATTATTGAATGTACATCCATAGTATTAGTTTTGTTGAATGCATTTTGTTTGTAGCTTTCAAGTGAGTGTAAATACTTTGCAATTAACAAGAATAATGATATATGAATGCCATTTCTTAATTGTAAATTTGTATATATTGTTATAAAATGGTCTTTTTATAAAAGTTCAAAACAGCCTTGTGCAAAAACTATTGTGTGCACACAGCACATCCATGATATTAGCTTTGTTGAATGCATCTTGTTTGTAGCTTTCAAATGAGTGCAAACACTTTGCAATTGACCAGAATCATAATCTATAAGTACAGATTTAATTCAAATACATATATATACATATTGTTAAAAAATGTTTATTCCATATATTTTATAATTTCTTTACGCAAAAACTATAGCAAGCACAGAAATGCAGTTTGCTGCATCAGACACACCTTCTAAACAGGTACAAAATGAGCTGAAAACACTGAAAATCCAAAATTTACAATTTCTGACCAAGATGCTCCCCTTAAGGGGAGCATCTACCCTAAAAATTATCTCGGCTATTTACAGTCGGATCACTCTGAAACTTGGTACACATATGTAAAATGGAAAAAACTCGCATTTTATTTGTGTGAATTTTTCGAAAAAATGAAAGAAAACGTGAAATTCTTAGAAAACGGCTATAAAAGGGGGTACTGTAGAAATGGATCTAGTCCTAGGATTTTCAAGCTACAACATCGAGACACATATCATTTGATGCGTGAGGTCTTCATCTACAAAATGTTCATCCCCTTTTTTTGAAATTCCAATTTTTGTGGAAGTGGGGGGCATTTTTCTAAAATGTTCAGAAATTTTTTGATTTTCCCCCTGCCACCCCCCTCTTTTTGCAGAATAAAATTGAAACTATAATGAAACTAGAAAAACTGGGATGAACATTTTGTAGATATTTTATTTGCAAATTGAATGATATATGTCTCATTGTTGTAGCTTCAAAACTCTAGGAGGAGATAGGTTTTCCGTGACAATAAGTGTGAATGTTGAGGAGAGTGTCCCGAGCGCACTGCAATAGACGCTCAATGTAGCATAGATACCAAACTAAACATTTCTGGAGCTTGTTTCCACTCAAGGATGGTGGGAGCGACTACATGCGCACCTCTCCCTACAAAGCCCGGAGGCACACTGAGCTACACCTCATAGAAACACAGTATTTGTAGTGCTGGGCAGCGAATTAGCCCCTATGTAATTACTGAAAGAACTCTCCCCCCGCCCCCCTTTCATGAAGTGTTGTGAACGTACAAATCAACGTACAGAGATGGTAATGGTACCGTTGGATAGGCCAGAATGTCAGCTTTAAGATGAGACTTAACACGTAACTGCAGCACAACTCAAGTAGACACTATATTTAAAGAGCTCAGCAGCTAATTAGTTCCTATCTAATTACTTAAAGAACTCCCCCACCCGCCTTCCTTTCATGAAATGTTGTGAAATCATAAATCAACGTACAGATATGGCAGTGGTACCGTTGGATAGGGCAGAATGTCAGCTTTAAAATGAGTATAAAAACCGAAAAAGTGAAAATTTTCAATTTTAGGGTAGACGCTCCCCTTAAAAGTTGTATTGAAGGAGGGGGCAAACTCCAAGCCGGCCCATGGTCTAATGGAGTGTAAACTTGCGATGGCAGCAAGCCTATATAGGGTCTGGCAGCAAATAAGAGTGGAGAGGATGTCTGGAGAAGGGGAGGGGGGAGAAGTGATTAATTAAGTAATGAATTGATTGCTAAAAAGAAGGGCATTTTATTGCATGCATGCAACATTTATGGCACACAGGTCTTCCATTAACATTTGCATAACTTTCACCAAATATTGGCTTATATATATTTTTTATCAATACGAGTAACAAATGTCATGAATCTTACCTCCATCTTTTTAATTGTAGTCCTTTATTTATACGTCTTGCTGAGAGAATCAGTCTCGGATTTTTATGTTGCTTTTGAGAGAACCGCATGTTCTCACCAGTGTTGCAAGTGACTAACAATGTAAAACTGTCATTCAAACGTCTGGGCCCTTTAAATTCACCACCCTTGAAAGCACTTGGGAAGGAGATTGGAGGAAATGAAGAAGGGAAGTCATATCATTAAAATTCATACTCATTAGGACTTTTGCAAGGAACACAGCCTTATTTGCAGCCAAAAACAGGATTTCTTGCACTGAGAATACTTTTTAATTGTGTAATACTTCAGCTACCTTTGCTGCATTTTCATCAGCAGAGGCAGAATGTGTAGATAAAATTACATGCTCCTAATGGCCAAGCACCCATGAAATGTTTCTAATCACCACTTGCTTGCAATAAAATCAATCTTGCAGGAGGGAGAAATTGTGATGTTCAAGGTTGGGATGTTTAACCTTGTTACTGACCTCTTCCAAGCCTTTCTGCCCATTATCATCTGCCAGGATGTTGTAGATAACTTAGTCTCTCATCATGTTAGAGTAAAAAAAATCAAGGCAGTCTTCCATCCAAACTGCTAAAGCAGACTCCAATTATATGATGCATTTATCTCTACTATTAACTACTCTTATGGCTATTTTATTGAAGGTAAAAGTTGACATAGCCATGATTTTCTTCTCATTGCTGCAGGGCAAGTCATGTTCCTTTAGTGGCCTAACCCTTTGGCTTTCATGCTTGTTTGTTTAATCTCTTTTTTCAATGTGTTTCTTTTCATTGTGTAAATTTTTATGAATTCCTCCTCTCTAGTCAAGATGGATAATACAGGGTGACCCCCCAAAAAAGTTGCTAACAGTAAAGGCCTATAACTCAAAAAGTATTAAACATAGAAAGATGAAATAAAAACCACATGAAAGAGTATAACTTCAAGTTTTATTTGGTATCCATGTTGCCAAAGTTCTCTATATATTTCATAGTTAAAACACATTATTTTTTAAGATCAAAATTCCCCCTATAATGCAGCTAAATTCTGAGCTACGAGTTTTCATTGTCAAACAATTTTGCCGGAAAACTTCACCAAACAAAATAAAGAGAGGTTATTTCACCAAATACAGACAAGAAGTTAGTTTCAACACAATCAAGAAGTGGGTACGTCAGTGGAAAGATATAGGAATGATCCTGAAGCAAAAGGTCATTCTGGATGGCCAAGAACTGGAAGATCAGAAGAAAACATTGCCATGATTGAAGAAAGAATTAATGAAATGCCTTTGGATTTCTTCCTATGGAGTTACGTGAAAGAAAAAGTACTTATTCAGTACAAGACAAAGCAGCATTGAGAATCTGAAGATAGCATTCGTGAAGCTCTCACACTTATTGACCAGGGTACCTTGTCTGCAGTAACTGCAAATTTTGAAAAACCTATTGAGCGTTGTATTGAACAGCAAGGAGGTCATTTTGAACATTTATTGTAGTCTGAATAAAACTTGAAGTTATACTCTTTCATATAATTGTTTTTCCATCTTTCTACGCTTAATACTTTTCAAGTTATAAGCCTTTACTTTTACCAACTTTTTTTGGGTCACCCTGTACAATTAGTATAAAACAAATTCCAAGAATCTGGTGCATGAACCTTATGGAAAATCCCAACTTTCATCATTGATATCTGCACCAGCCTGGTAATTTAGGCTGACCCAACACTTTAGAGGAACCGAGTGAATGTCCAGAATGATTTTTATTGTATATATTCATTCTTTCATCCAAATAATATTAGTGGTTATAACAGTTGCTTAGCATGTGTGTTAATCTTTGTGTCTTCTTAATTTTCATTGATTGTAGTCAGTGGATTTTTATCCACTAATCAACACAGTGGCTCCAGAGATAAGGTTCATTAATATACATCTCTTTTTCTACTCGATAGTTTAATGTTGTCACATTGAAGAGGGCCGCAGAACATTAGCTATAGTATACAGTAGAATCATTCATTCACAATTGTACCTTAATGTAGGTCATGTTTTTTCATTATCATTTGAGTGTCATTTGCATCTTATTAATCTTGTATCTTGTTCCCCTTGGTGTAATATTTAAGCAGAGTAAAAGTTATTGAGATGAAATCCTTGCAAGTCCATATGATATGCACTTTTGATGAATCTGCACCCCTGATTGCTGAATTGGAAATTCACTGGTTGCACCTGATTCTTTTCTGACCTTCAAAAGACTGTTTAAGATGCCTTGATGCATCCACTCATGTGAATGAGTAGAGTTGTAGTGCCTCATGTCAATGAATTCAATGTGCATTTCATCATTTGGTTTTAGTGTTGGAATGCATAAAATTTACATGTTTTACTTTCTTTTATGGCCAATCCCATATGCATTATGTTCATGCTTCAAATGTACCTTAATTCTGCACTTACTTTGCAATAGGTACCATGTTCTAAATTATGGTTATTTATTTTACATGCTTCTCACAGTTAATGCATTCACCATTCACTTACACCTCACATTTTTTGTTCACTTTCCAACTGAGCCATTTGAAAGACCTGTATCCTGAATTCTGTTTTATTTGCCAGCAATAAAATAACAATTTTACTCTCATCATCATCATCCACTTTCCAAGTATGTTGTTGTCAACCTAGAAACTAAAATTAGGGAACACGTTTGGTTCACACACAGGACATGCAGCAATATCGTTGTTGCACACACTTGATACATTTATCCAATAATGGCAATCTATTGCTGCATTTGATCTGCCTTTTTTGAGCATGTCCAGCAGCTTCACTTTTTCTTAAAGCATCTATGTCTTGCACTGACTTTAAACTGAGTCCTAGCTGATGGATAACTTATGCCTACCTTTTGGTGGCATGGTTGTGCTTCAATCAACAATTTTTAATTAGAAAATCTGAAATAACTATAACAACACCACTGACAAAATACTTTGGACCTGCATAAAGACAATAAAAAACATTATTGCAAACAGGAGACTTTTTGGTGACTACATTAGTCTACATTAGTAGACCAGGAAAAGCATAGAAAATATATTAATAGGGCAAACATAATGAAGCAAACTGAGCCTTACTGCCATTTTTGGAGCCAAAAGATTCTAACTAATTGAATTATCTCATTTCCAATTGTTAACAAACCCAGCAGGCATCTGACGTTGAAACAATGCTGATTATTGGTTGATTTCGGGTTGAAATGTTGAAAAACCAATTTTAAACGCAATATCAACGTCGAAATCTGACCAACATTAGAAGGGTCGTAAAACAACCTTATTTCAACGTTGAAACAACGTCAATGTTGGTACGTTGAATGTTTATTTATTTTTAAACGTCCGATCAACGTAGAAATCTGACCTAAACTAGAACGGACGTAAAACCTTATTTCAACGTTGAAACAACGTCGATATTGGTACGTTGAATGCTTATTCATTTTTAAACGTCCGATCAACGTCAAAATCTGACCAAAACTAACACGGACTAAACAACCTTATTCCAATGTTGAAACAACGTTGATATTGGTACATTGAATGTTCATTTATTTTTAAACATCCGAACAATGTTGGAATCTGACCAAAACTAGAACAGACGTAAAACAACCTTATTTCAACGTTGAAACAACGTCGATATTGGTACGTTGAATGTTTATTTATTTTTAGACGTCCGATCAACGTTGAAATCTGACCAACACTAGAACGGACGTAAAACAACCTTATTTCAACGTTGAAACAACGTCGATATTGGTACGTTGAATGTTTATTCAATTTTAAACGTCCTATCAACCTAGAAATCTGACCAAAACTAGAACAGACACAAAACAACTTTATTTCAACGTTGAAACAACGTCGATATTGGTACGTTGAATGTTTATTTATTGTTAAACGTCCGATCAATGTCAAAATCTGACCAAAGCTAGAACGGACGTAAAACAACTTTATTTCAACGTTGAAAAATGGTCGATATCGGTATGTTGAATGTTTGGCTATTTACCAGCATGGAACTAATGTTATCACACCAATATTGAATGAAATACATATGTATAAGTGAACGATTAATGACCAGAGAATGCATTTCAATGTTCAAGGAGTCGAACAATTCTTTAGCTTATTTTATTGCTCATGCACGCGAGCTGGCATGGTCAAGGTTGCTAAGGCGTCGCACGGTCTCCAGATGTCCCGGGTTCGAATCCTGCTACAGATGAAAAACAGGTTGGTTCTTCAACGTTGATTCAACTAGAGAATTTGACGTTGCAGCAATATCATAGTAGTAACATTGATTCAACTTTGCATTGTACCGTCAGTACGACGTTTCATGAGAGACGTTGCTTCAATTTTCATGCTAAACCTCTCTTCACCGCGATCTCAACGTCGTAATAGGTAGTTGTTTCAACGTCAATTCAACCATAGAATTCAACATTGCAGCAACGTCATAGTAGCAACATTGATTCAACGTTGCATTGTAACGTCAGTACAACCTTTAATGAAAGATGTTGCTTCAATTTTCATTCTAAACCTCCTTTCACCCTGATCTCAACGTCGCAATAGGTAGTTGGTTCAACGTTGATTCAACCGCCGAAAGCCTGCTGGGAAAGTTCATAATCAAGCTGCAAGATTTCAAGTTCATAGAGAAAAAATTGGTACAGAGTTCATAGTTCATATGAAATCTCACCAGAGGAGTGGAATTTTAGTAAAAAGTAAAAATTTTCCAATCCTAAATCAGTAAGTAGCAAGGGTACCAGCATTCAAAGGCTTAAGATATACAAAGAAATCTTGAAGGACATTAAGTTAGAAGAATAGCTAGAATGAATAGGCTCTAAAATGTTTCTCATTTGGCACTATGTAGCTAAAATTTTCAAGTGTACAAGCACCTTTATGAGTTGTGCAAGGTAGCATAGCTTTCGCTATCTGCATCAAGAATGCCAGTTGCCACATAGAACCTTTGCTGGTAAAATGTTAAGATTTGAGGCTTTTATTCATTAGCAAAATTCTATATAATAAGACCTTACATCAATTTTACTTCTCATTTATTTTTCTGAACTTCAATTCTTGAAACCCCCAAAAAATATAACTGTTGCACCAGACCTTACAAGTTTGGTAAATGCTATGTAATATTGAATTGGGAGGCTGTTCTGAAACCTTTGGAGCTGATTTAGCCATTTTCTCTTGCATGTATTGGGCAGCCAAGCTTTTGCATGATATTATGTACATATGCATGTATACCATCAATGACATATGAGTTGCTGCTTAGCAGTTTAAGAGCAGATAGTGCACCTACATAACTGTTTCTTGGTAAAAACCCTATAATATTGGTCAGAATAAATGTCAGATTATCATCAGATTATAGTTTTCAATGATTGATTTACAATGATTTTAATGATTGATATATATATAATAAATCTTACCTCCATCTTTTCAACTGTAATCCTTTGTTAATTCGTGGTGATGAAAGGCACAGTTTTTTGGATTTCTTATGAGAGAAACGCATGTTTTCACAAGTGTCTTGCCCTGGAACTAACAATGAAGGTTCTAATTTAAACGTGTTAGCCCTATAACACAAATACAGGCAGAGCAATAAAAGCTGTCCTACTATCCCAAAGCAATGTGGAGTGGAGGTCCACTTGCAAATCACATCAGTAGACTAATGAGCATCAAGGATGCTATTGAATGAATGGTACAACAGGTTCT